GTCACTTATTCCATCCTACCTTGCACATAAAAAGATTGTTCATATAGGTGTGATAATACTCTGCTAATAAAAAAAGATTGTTCATACTTAATGGTGTGAAAACTCGACAAGAGCAGGAGAATCAAACCACCTGCTCTGTATATTAGACATTACTTTGATGAAAGAGTGTTTGGCATCCTACTTTGATACAATCCACAATCCATTAAAAGAACTCTCACTCATAAGGGATCAATATATCAAAAACAACAACAAAAAGAAAAACAAAAACAAAAACAAAAAAAGTGGCATTCAAATGACAGAATAGATATTGAGGTATTTTTAACTGTGCAGAACAGGTGATATCTGACAGTATATAAGTATATATATATGAAATCATTTGTGAAAAAAGAAGCTTACATTAAAGCAATGACTTGTGGAGGTATATAGGGATCACTGATATCAATTGCCCCTTTTCCACTAAATGAGTGATTTTGGTAATGGCATCTTTTGACAAAGCTTTACAAAGATACAAGTTCTTTTCATATAAATAAGAATATTATGTTGAGTGAAAATTACAGCAGTGCAACTAATTTGCACCAAGATTATTTGCTTTCTATACTAACCGGCACCATGAAAGTGTTCCTACTGTTACAACAGTTCTCTTGCTTCATGGAAGAATTGAGAGAGCATATCAGGGATAAAAGGTAAGATCAATAGTTTATATTTTCGATATGTTCTTCTGTGGTATTTCATTACATCAAACAAAATAGAAAAAATGAAAAAAGTGTCAATGTCTTGTTCTTGTTCTGGAAGATTATTAGTTGAATCATCATAAATGTCAACATGGAAATGATTTGTTTCACCCATTTCCTGATGCAGACTAGTTGAAAACAAGAATGGGATTAAAATCCCTGTAAACTGCAAGGATCAGGGACCCGTTTCACAAAGCCTTTTCTCAATGACAAACGACAAAAATCAGTGACAAATCTGTTGATACTTGATAACCAATCAGAAGCAAGGATTTCAGTAGCTTATATTTATGACGAAAACTGTCATTTGTCACTGATGACAAGTTTTGTGAAACGCCCCCTAGTTCATCTTGTTTCTCACCTGCCCTAGCAGACTCTCTGCTTGTCCCAGGACTAGGTTTCTTGTCCTGTCTAGAGTTTGGTTTAGATAGAGGTAGTTTCCTAGAGGATGGTCTTCTCTTAAGCTGAGGATGATGTCTCCTTGGAGATGCATCATCAGATGATCTATCAGCAGAAGATGCTCTATTCATCTTAACAAAGTTATCTTCTATTCACCAAAGGCATGCAATATATTTGTGTTCAGTTGATAACTTGATATGGGAACAAGCATCAAAACAGTATTGCTTCTGTAAAGTTGACTAGCATTTAATGTCAAAAGGATAAATAAAGTCGAAAGCTGGTATAATCCTGTCATACATGTATGTTGCTGATTAACAGATTTGGTGAATGATCAGTAAAACTCCCATTGTTGTAAGCAAAATACTATATGAATTGTACAAAGCACAATTCAAACCTCATTTCTGATCCCTTTGATATTGCCAGATAAACGGATCATATTCCTGAAGTTCATGTAAAGCTAATATATTAAGTTTTGCTTCTAAGTCCAGTCCATCATGCAAGCTAGGCCAGGATGAAATATGGCTACTAGAAATCACATTTCCAAACAACCAAAATCACAATCTATAGTCGGTACTGTCCCACATATCTCCATTGGTGATGAGAAACTTTGGAAAATTCCAGCCTTTCTGAGCTCAGTGCTGATAATCATTATCTAAACCTTCCTAAGCATATATGTATCATCACACTAATGGTGTCAGATGGCTCAAGTGGGTCAGTAAGAAATGATGATGATGATGATCATCATTAATAATACAAAGTCCGTTCCGTGAAAATATGCCATAAAGTAAAATGACCAATTACCCTCCATAAAGCACGACGTCCGTGAACTTTACCCAGGCTCTTCAACGATAGTTAATACTTATGTGTGAAACACAAGTATAAAGAATAAACAAACAAGTAAGGAGTGTCCTCTCTTGCCTCTAAACAAGATTAGAGACGCCAACTGGGACCAGTTTCACAAAGCCTTTTTTCAATGACAAATGACAAAAATCAGTGACAAATCTGCTGATAACCAATCAGAAGCAAGGATTTCAGTAGCTTATAACAAGAATTGTCATTTGTCACTGATGACAAGTTTTGTGAAACACCCCCCTGGTCCTTGATTTGGGTTGAAGTAGGTGTCAAGATCAATATTACAAGCGTTACTTCTTTATTATTAAATTTGTGCATGATAGATTATTCGATGTCACCATGACTTCACAAAGTTGTTTAATATGAAACAGAACTACAATGTCTTTATTGTAGAATAGCCATTTATTAGAATTTAGTTCTCTTATGTGGATTTTGAGGAAAGAACTCTGAATACCCAATACCGGTACTTGTAATCCTGACAAACAACAAAATGAATCAAACAGTTGGAGGTGACTGCAGGTTCAATTCCTTGAAACATGAGCACATTTTCAACGGAATTAAAATTTGGAGAAATTCTTAATTGTGCTCCGTCTGCAAAAGGTTGTACGTACATGTACATGTCTCTACTTTAATATCTCAACATACCTTGCCCTGTTACATAGGTAACATGAAGCAAATACTATATAGTTATCTCCTTTGAAGTTACTTGATACCATTAATATCACATGCACTGACTGTTAATTACCAGACTTACTCAACAAAGTCTCCTGATCTTGGGCCATTACAGCTGAGAATAGCGTCTTCCGTCTCCCACCAGGACTCCCAGACAACTTCATCTTCGGTAGAAGATTGATCGCGAGGGAGTGCCTTCGGGAATTCCTCGCTACCCCATCCATAGTAACCTTCACACTCTCCTATCAATGACGTCTTCTTTCCTTAAAAAAGTATCTTATCACTATCAAAACTGCTCCGGCCGAGACTCTAATTGTGATACATATCACATTATCCAGTGACTGACATCCCAATGACAGAGAAACTTTGTTGACGAGAATTCCGAAAATGCACATTCATTTGCCTGCTAATAGAAGTGAGTTGTTGACTTTATAGCAGAAAGTCTTCAGCATTGGTCAAAAGCTCTAGCACGAAGAGAACCCAGTGCTTAATCCGTAAGATACATACTACATGTTCTTTATTCTTAATTCCTTCTTCAAGGAAACAATGTACATGTTCTACTATAAAGGCAGTTATACAATTAGCAATGAATGCCTTTCAAGTTTCAATGGCCAGTAGCAAAACAAAATCTGTAGACTCTTGTTCCTCAGTAAATGCAGAAATGCTTCATTGTTTTTTTTTCTAATGGCCTGTAATTTCAAACTGAGGGAACGATTTCAAGTGCCTCGATCCATCAAGGTTCTCAAAGGTAACATTTTCAAGTTTCTCTCACTAGATCTAGGCCTGTCCTCATCAGCTCGGGATTGCCAAATAACCCGCTATTTTAACTATCCTGATCGCAAATTATCCAGTTAACTTGCGTCTTCATCAGCCCGCAGTTGCAATTAGCGGGATATTTGGTCAAGATATTTGCGCAAACCCTGAGCAAAATATCTTGAGATCGAGTTTTGAGTTTCGAGGTCGAGTCTTGAGCTGATGAAGACATACCTACTATTTTGTGGATAAAATGCATATTTGATTTCATGAAACCTAACGAGGCATAAGAAGGTGTGCACCATGAAGCAGAAAATTCAATTACTGGCTGAAGCTTTGATATTCTTACTAAGAAGGGAAATAAATCGCCTGCCTGGTGGAATCCAATCAATATTGATAGCGATCATGAATTCAATTCGAGACCTCAACTTTAACCCCCCCCCCCAAGAAAAAAAAAAGAAGAAAACCCTAGGGTACACTGGAAGGAGGCAGGGGGGGGGGGGGGGGGTGTTTCCAATAGTAAATGGAATAAACTCCCATATAAGACAGCAATAGAGGTTATGAGACAAATGTCTAAAAATATTTGACAGCTGCACGAACTGGACCTCAATCAGGATAAAGTTGCAACTCTTGTTCAGACAGCAAAGATGTTTCACATCTCACTCTCAGAAGAAAGAAGCTTTCCCTTCTGTTCGGTATTAATATATATATATTTTTTTAATATCAAATGAATGATAGTGAGAATTTTTAATTTTTTATTTACATGCACATATGTATGTAACTTATAATGATATGTCATGTAACGCAAATCACTTTCACAGCTTATGAATTATGAACACAGTATCTTTACCTGCTATATACTTTCAGATTCCTATTAAAACAGCCGCATTAAATACAAATATACATATCATACATATCAAATGTCTCCACAAAATTTCAATAAACATACCATTATCTGGGCCTTTTTCTCCCTTGTCTTATGGTTTAAATCCCTGCTACAAATTGTTTTTCTTCACATTTCTTTTGCATTGATATTGAGAAAACAGAAAACTCCCAAGAGAAAAAACATTTGTAATATACTACTACTATTACTATTGCTACTACTGCTAATGATGATGTTGAGGATGATGATGATGAAGATAATGATGATGATGATAATAATAACAACAACAACAACAACAACAACAAAAATAATATTAATGATAATAATAGCAAATAATTCTACTACTAATTACTTCTATTATTGATACCGGTAATTATAGGTCGCTTTTTTTTCTCATAAAAATCATCATATCAACATACTACTGTGTGAAAAGTTTCTGCTCATACTTGTAAGTACATGGAATGATTTAAATATTAAAGTAGGTATGGACAAAGAAAAATCCTTGGTCTAGTCATCATAATTCAGCTTTCTGAGTTATGTTTCTGCCCCACCCCCTTTTTATTTCTTAAATTCATGTTTTGTTGTTATTTGCCTACACTGTATGTAGAAATGAACAAGATCAAACTTCAAGATCAATTTTGCCTCACTGACCTCTCTTAAGTACAAAGGTAAGTTTACTATCTTACATGATTCTGATAGTTAGTTGTACTTACTGAGAAGTGTTTCTTGATCTTGAACTGTAAGTGCTCCAGGAATCAATGTCTTCCTTCTATTAGAATTAACTGCTAATTTTACTCTAGGAGCAATGTTGTGACTTCCTAAAGTGTTTCTTCGTACAGCTTTAGGAGGCATACCATCCATTGTGACAACAAAAAAGTAATTCCACAACAACCTCTGAAATTAAAATGGATGCCTTCTGTATAATATCCTTTGCTCTGTATTGCATTGAAGGGATATTCTGTAGCTCGATCCTACAGCAGCAAGGTTCTTCTCGAAAGTCACTGCCCAAGAAATCTTACAAAGAAATGCCGCACATCCTGTTCCCGAAGCATGGATCCTACTAGGCCTTCTTGTTTTTAATAGTATGAAGGCTTAGGGAACATGTAAAAATGTTTACCCTGACAACAAAGCCAAGGCATCTATCCGTACACCTATTGGCTCTTAATTGAAAGTTCTTGTAATGGACCCCGCAGAAAGGTCGAGTAAAAGCTGCTCACTTATACAAATGTAATCCTCAATGTACATAGTTTCCACAAGAGACTCTCGGCATGCCAAAGAGAATGGAAAACAATTGTTAAACCAATGGCTATACCAAGGATGGTTGAGAGGATCTAAAGACAACAGACCACCGTACCTACTAAATCTCACTCTTCAAAATGGAAGGCAGATCAGGATTGAAATTCAAGTGCCTTTGTACAGAGTACTTCATCACTTGATGAAATCTTGTGCAGAATTACAGGTAAAATTACCTATGCTACTATATTGCAGAGAATCTCTCAAAATCTTCCAAGGTAAACATTTGCATTATTCACTTCTTCAAAATTGAAGAACTGAGACACTTCTCAAGTAGCTTTTGGCAAACTTACCCAGGCTGTCATCTCTATAGGTACTGGCTTGTGGTTACTTAGTAACCTCATGCTTTGTTTGATCAAAATTATATTGAATTTGACCGACCAGAAGGTCTGTTTCTTTGACAGGAGGTACAAAGCAGAACTATCCATCAAATATTTATTTCAAAGGAATATTTTATAGTTTTCTTTACAAATTATTTGATGTGGTTTGAAAGCATAAATATAGACATGTACAAAGTGTGTCTGATCAATGCCAATGAACTGGCAATTAAGGCATCTTCTCCAAGCAATAATGATATACATGTATATAGTAACGATTTAATTATTATTATTATATACATGTATAAGTAAGATACAGATCAGAATTTGGATTTGCAGTAAAAGCGTTTAAAGGTACTATATGTCCCATTTGCTGGCTTAAAAAATGAAAAGGTTAAATTCCAACGGCATTTGAAAGATAATACTAATTTAGAACTTCCCTCAAAACGAACAGGCTTGAAAATTTATTTTTGTGGGAAAATAACGACCATTAGTTGTCGAGTCAAAATTAGGGATTGCAGTCCTTTTATTAAATAGTCTGATTTTCAGACCCTTGTACTGAATGGTCGTACGTTTCGTGCTGCACAAAGATTCAATTACTAGTAGTTTAATTTTGGTCATTACAAGAAGTGGGTTATTGATGTAGACAAATGCTCATGTACCCTTTACAGCTCATGTTGTTACCAAAGAAAAAAAAAAAAGTCAGTCGGTTTAATATTCAGTCACTCAATAGTGTCTGACAGCGAAGTCTAGAGAGTGAACGACTTTCCTTGCATAATTTGAATACCCTGTACTAGGACATAATGAACACTGTTAATGTTTAAATTTTACAGATGTGACATAGACTACGTGACATATTCATAATTTCTGCAAAGTTCTACAGAATTTGATGTTGGCTGCATGCAAAAGGGGTACACTACCATTTAACCCCTTGACCACGACAACGCTTATACTTGCACATTCGCACATCTACAGGTCTATTATTAGGACACCATATGACTTCATACTTAATGCAAGAGCCTGCATTCTTGCAAGCCACAAAATCTAACCTTGCCACAAACAACATTGCCTGGAACCTGCGCCCTGAAACGGGAGCTCAGCTGAGGGTGTTTCCATTTACTGTACCACTTCTTTCTGACTTACCTGACACACTTAATCTGACACACTGTTTTCCTATTCATTTTCTACACAGAGGCATTTTCAAGAGCCATGATCTGTGATTGGCTTTTTTGCTAGTAAATATTCATGATTATGCAAATTATTAAGACCGCGCGCACAGTTCATATCCTTTGTTTTGGTCTTGCGAAAAATATGATAAACTTTTCAAAAAGTTCCTGAAAATAACACTTTGAGCGAGAAAATTTTATAATGAGTCAGCTTTGTAATTTCTGAGGTATGCATGTTGATTTGGTAATATTGAAATGTTATGAAACAGACGTATATTTGTTCTCAGGACCATGTTTTGAGGGGGTAACGGGTTGATTTTTCAGAAAGAAGTGGTACAGTAAATGGAAACACCCCTCAGCTGACTAGTAGAGGTGTTGTGGTCTAGTTGATACATCATAGGACTATGGAGTAGATGGTTCCCAGTTTGAGTCCCACCAAAGCACAAATGTAAATGACAAGACATTTATCTACATTCGCCACTCTCCACCCCAACGTTAAATGGTTTAAAGGTACTATGTCCCATTTGCAGGCCAAAAAAAATGAAAAAGCTAAATTCCAACTGCATTTGAAAGATAATACTAATTTAGAACTTCCCTAAAAAAGGTGGGGCTTGAAAATGTGGGAAAATAATGACTATTAGTTGTCAAATCGACTTTAGGGCTATAGAGCCCAAAAGTAATAGTCTTGATTTTCAAATACCTATATTCTTTTATTTCTTTTATTCTTTAATAACATTCACATCACTCAAATATTTTTGAAACTGTCACAAGTCTTACTTCTTGACTAAATCTAGTTTGCTAGTTGTCCGCTACGAGTTTCACGAAACCATATCCCAGCTAAAGGATTTATGATCGACACTTCAAAACCTGTCATATGTCTGTCATAACTTTTTAGTCGATGTGCAGCACCATCAACATGTCATTTATTGGTAGGCTATGGTTGGCAAAAAAGGACCATACATACACTTTGAGTAATTCTCCAGCTATCTTTCTACACATTGCTTTAACAGGTATTTATCTTTCTTACTACATGAACATTTTCTGAAAATATGTCATGTTTTTATCTAAATCTTCTTGCACTGAATTAAACTGATCCTACATGTTCATGTTTATTGCCTAATTCTCAGAATGAAAAGGAAAAAAATGCATTTTGAATTTAGATTATGACCATACAAAGAGAAGTGGAACAGAAAGGTCATGATCTGAATTTTATTTTTAAAAAACAAAGGCAAAAAAGCAAGAAAATAGTAGAGGACTAGGCCTTCATGAAAGAGTGATTGGTTAAATTAACCACTTAACAACAACAAAAATAGATTAATAATTTTATCTAAAATGATTGTGACAATATAAAAACAAATTATGATCTATTTCTTGATAATATATGGAATGTTTATATCAATTCTCAAAACTTTACTGATCAATAAAGATTTATCAATAAACATTGATCAAAAGTTATCAGGATTCTGTCACAAGATTTAAGAAGAATTTATTCTGACTTTATAGGCAACATTAGCCATTATGAACTGTGATAGGATAAAGACATGAAGAAAAAAAATCAATCAGTACGCCTAGAAAGCAAGAGAACACATTTTATAGAGCAAAGCAATTACATATGTACATCATGTATGGTGGTGTGACCAAAGTTCGCACGTGACCTAAGTTTGCTATCTCCAAAAATCAGTAAGATTACGAAACTCTGATATCACCAATGTAAAGAGGAACATAAAATTTTCTTTGGAATTGGGTACGAAATTGTGAAAATATTGACAAAAGAAAAGTGGTACTAACTGATTGTATGATATCTTGCCTTGCAAATTATGATATTACCCTATTTTTGATGGATCACACTTTTTGATAAATCAACTGTAAACCCCCGTGCGTGAAGTTAGGTCTCGTTGTTTTTATGACTTTTTTAGATGCAGCGCGCACGAACGATCGAACATCAAATTTTTAGATCGCGATATCTTCGAAATCCTTCGACGATAAATTTTCTAGTTGAACCAATCTGTAGTAAAACACTTTGCCGTCCATCTGGTAATAATTGAAATTGATAAATTTGTGTAGAATTATGAGAAATCATTGTTCGAATATCACATTTTGTTATATGTTCTAAAATGTTCGCGAACTTAGGTCACCCCTTCATACTACATGTACTAGAGTAGAGTCTACATGTATTCATGTAGGCCTAGACTATTTGCAATTTTAAAAAAAATCATGATTTAAAAAAAATAATTGATTGAATAGAATCTCCTGTTCCCTGCTACTATTGTCAATCTTTGTATATCCCTTTTTTTTATTTAATAATTGCAGTTTTATTGAAGTTGCTTTTTAAAAAACAAGGTGCAATGGCGACCAAGGCTAAGCCTCAGTAAAACTAAGTGAGTTCTCGCCGATAGTATCAAAATCATTTGCTGTCTAGCTAGCTAGCTAGCTAGCTACTTTGTGAAATGATTTAAGAAGATCAGAGACTTCTCTGTAGACTAGATGGCAAACAACATTATGAATGTCTTGTTGTTGGGTTCAACGGGCCCCTAGCCTCTACTCTCAGACTCTAGACTAGTCTTTTTGTCAAACTCAAACTTCCAATCGCGCACCCGATGTTGTGTGCTAAAATCTTTCCCATAGAGATTGCACACATCCCTATGTGGTCTACATGCATTGCGCGACCAAGCAAAATTGGTCAATGGTTTTATGAAATTTTTTAAATTCAAACCTTTATAACAAATGATCCTGAAGGTGAAACTCAATAAATGTGGTGTCATATGAAAGAGCAGGTTTTTCTCCATATTCCCCATAGGGGGCCACCCCCGGAATTTTAAAAATATCTTGCTCAAAACAGCGATTTAAACATCGTTTCCATGGTAACTCGGAGATTTACCAATTTCACGAACTGCTCCCCCGAGGGATAAGTTGGGCCAGCTGTAAAGAATATATATCCATGCACTTATTTTTTCTCTAGTCCCAAGGGATCATTTGTTACAACAGTTTGAAAATACCCTTGCTCCACAGTTTGCATATCGTGCTGTGCATTAGCTGTGCAGCTTTTGAGCAGAAATTATAACTCTGCGTGAACCACTTTTCTGTCCATTCTGACCAAAATGCTCTGAATATTGCACAATTTTTGAGGGGCTGTATCTTTTGATAGAAACATCGGTGAGTCTTGAAATTTGAAAGGTATTATTCTGATTACATTTTTTATTCCAATATCAAACAAAAATGGTGAAAAACGATCCCAAATTGAAAATTGAAAAATCGTTCAGACACCCTATTCCAAGTCATGAAGTCAAACCGAGTAAAAATGGGCCTGGATATCAATAGTCGACTTGGAAGTTGGAACACATGCCTGTCATAATTTTCTCACCGATTCAACTTCAAAATATGTAGAACCAGAATAATTGAAAGAAATTCACTTAAAATGTTAAATTGATTATTTCTCATGCTTTAAAGAAAAAATGTACCGGTAGGCTATAGTCTAATTGCGATAGGGTATTTACATTCATTTGTGTACACTATCTAGGCAACAACTAAGTTACGCTCGCAGAGGGCGACAGTCTTGTAAACATGATGGTCTTCGAGTTA